CCTTTGGATATTACATCCTTAACCCTACCAATTCAGTGAAAAGATCCATTATAATCTTGGTTCCTAACCCAAAGAGGTTAACCTGCATCTATTATGGAATGAGAGTGCCCCTCTTCTGATTTATGAAACCGCTCTGAAGATGTTTTTAATGATTTTCCAGTAGTGGCAACTGTTTGAGTGCTGGGGTGGGAGGTGTTAATTCCGTGTTTGGGTGATGTTCTTCTGAAAAAACTAAGACTGTCTGATTATATTGTGTATTTGGTAAATTAATGATTTTCCAGTAGTGGCAACTGTTTGAGTGCTGGGGTGGGAGGTGTTAATTCAGTATTTGGGTGATGTTCTTCTGAAAAAACTAAGACTGTCTGATTATATTGTGTATTTGGTAAATTAGTTTGGAAAGTAATTTCTTCAAAGGCAACCTTTTATTTTTTTAATTGACCCCCCACAATAAACATCTATTTACAGCACAGTCAGAACTTATTAAGCAAAACTTTACTAATTCAGTCTTTTGGGGACAGAAAAGCCATTGACCTAGTTTCTCCATTGCACTTGAAAGAAGCTGAACTGTCATTTCTTTATAATTAATTCACACTTCTTGGGAGTTCTTTGCCTAGAAAAGTTCCCGGGGGACACGATTAAATGAATAATTTGTAATCAACAAGCCAATTGTTCCTGTTTCAAGGGAATATGACATATTTGACCGTTGTTGATAAATTTGAGGGGTGTGGACATTGAAACGATAAAAACAGAAAATAATGGAAGCACTAATTTACTCACCAATTTGCTGCTCTGTTCTGCCTCGTATGTGTTATATGGGACAAACTCACAAATCCTAAATGTGAAGGTTTTAAAATAAATATCTGTCCCGTTTATGATCCATAAAGTCGTCTGCATTGAGGTTCCCCAAATACCTGATTCTAACAATTAATTCAGAGAAAGAGGCCCTTCAGAAAACCAAGTATTAGTTGCTTATTAGTTATTAGTTATTGGTTATTAGCATATGTAACACTAGGTGTTACATACAGTGTGACTAGTACCATTTTTAGATCAGTTGGGATTCCTAAAGATTTTTCTTTTCCACTGCCAATACAAATTCAATTAAAACAAACAACTCAATTCCAGGGCTCTAAACGAGTGCATAAATATATTCAGTTCCATCGCACTCAAGTACAATGGATGCTAACTACCCCTGAGATCAGCAGGAGAAAGCAGATGGGGTGAAAAATTCACAGGCAAGACAACTTCCTGACAACTTCCTGTTTCCCCCACCTAACATTCCCTCTATGCAGTCAGTAGAAAGAATGGGGGAAAAAAATGGCTGTTCAAGTCCCTTGTACTTTTTAAAGCACATGGTATTTATTAGGCATTAATTGGCACACAAGTATAAGGCACGAGTACTTAATTTTCACCCTCCCCCCTTAGCAACATAAAAAGACATAATCGCATAAAGACACTCACGTACAAACAGACTCACACTCTCTCACGTACTTGGGCATACTCAGCCTCACATATTACCCTGTTCTCTTTATTAGGGTCTGTTTAAAAAAAAAATTTCTTTTTTTAATCAAGAAAGCAAAGCACATTCGAAAGAAAAAAAGAAACAAAACACAAACTTGATTTTGAGTATCAATAAAATTAAAAGCTCTTGGCCAGCTCCCATGCTGGTTTTCATTTCATGTTATTACTTAATTAGAATTCCTATTTATAAATAAATAGTACCAGTAAAATATTACATCTGAAGAACCCTACCCTAACATTTTACTTACACACTTTTCTGTTAATACTGTTTTCTGCTTTCAATAAACACAGTTTTGTGTCAGCATTTGGTGCTGGAGTGATTTCTTTGGAGAGAAGTAACCAGTGAGCACGTCTTGCCTTTTCTTGAGAAATTGTGGGTTTTGCTTTGCATCCCGTTTGGGCCATCGGCGATGGAGGTTCGGAAGCTCAGGGCTGGCTTTGTTTTTCAATCAGGAAGAATATTTACTTTGGCTTTTGTTCACAACTCTTGTCCACACAGAGCTTGGGTTCTGCTTATCACAGTTCTTCCCGCATGTAAACGGGCTTTTTAAGTTTTTCAAAGCAAGCTTTCCGGACGGGAAGCTATAGGCCACGTTTTAGCGACAGATGGCTGGAAAGACACAGGGCTGGGAAGATGGTGGGGCTGAATCAGATAGGCTGCCAGATGGGGTCGATGTTATCCTGACCCCTCTGGTAAGTAGAAGGCAGAGCTGAGCGCCGTGATCCTGGAAAAGGCAGGACAAGTGGAAGAAAAGCTGGGACCTGGGCAACCTTTCAGAAACATCACATGTCAGAGGTAGGTACTTTTCTTAGGTGGTGAATTTAGGCTTTAGGGATGGTTTATTTGAGGGGAATCCCACAAGTACACATTTTGAAACATACTTGCCTCAGGCCTCCCCCCAAATAAGGGACTGGGTCCCGTTAAGAAAATTGAAAGAAAAAATATATTATTATTTATTATATAACATTGTCAACATTAACACAAAGACAAGGAAAGACTCCAACTATGCATTTGGAGAAAACTTAGTGAGGCTAGACATTCTGGAGCCCATAAAAAGGAATTGGGGAGGACATCAGGTATGGTGTGAATGAGGCTGGTGGACAAGTGCGGTGGTCGTGGGGGGTGGGACTCATTTTTTTGTTTGTTTTTTAAGTTTTGAGACATAACGGCAAAGTCCCATTTTTTGAATTGTGGTTTCAAGCTACTGATTAGATCAGTGTCCAGAGGCTTCGGGTGCAGATGTGACCTTTGGGTGAAATGAACAATCTTGTCCGTGGGGTTCTCTTTGCTATTGTCTCTGTCCCTCACTCTCCCTCCTCTCTCTCGGCAAGTGTCTGTCTGTCATGAAGCAGGCCTCGCTTAGCTGTTCTCACTCCACTCTGGCACCATGCCAACCCCATGCACAGAGTGGTACTGGTGAGGTGACAGAGTCCTTGGCACACCATGAGAGTAGAGGAACTCGGGGGCCTGAAGGCTGGCGGGGGACTGAAGGCCAGTCTGAGGCCCACACTGCCTGACCACAGGCTGGTGGGCCACGGAGGTCTGGTGTTGGAACATTCCCTCTCCGAGCTGTGGGGAGCCATGGTTGGCCATGCCAGCCAGCCGGGGGACCAGGGGCCCCGAGGTGAAGTGAGCAGAGAAGTGCTGGTAGGGTAGCCTATCCATGGGCTGCACAGTGGTGACCGTGCAGCTGCTGTAGGAAGGCATGCTGGGCCACGTGTTGCAGCTGATGTCCTCCAGGCTGGGCACCGGCTCACTGGGTGGCGCCGAGCTGGCGTACATGCAGGCCTGCCGCTGTGCCGACTCTGTCCTGTAGGAGGCACTCAGACCCTGCTGCTGGGGGTAGCTAGAGCGGTAGAAGGGGTCCTCTTCACTAGGTGATGTCTCCATATAGGGCTTCTTATAGGGATGGTCTGTGGTGGAACATTCTTCATCTGTGGAGACAGGAGGAGAGAGACCAATGAGGCCAGGACCAGCCACCAGACAGCTAAAAGCAGAGGTGGCATTTGGCCAAAGGACTAAAGAATTAAGTCTGAGAGATTATTAGCTCCAACCTCCATTCTGATCAAAAGGGATGGACTCTAATGCTTAAGACCTTGGGCTATGAAATTCTAAGCACACAGTTTGATATTTCTGAGCTCAGTTTCTTTATCTGTAAAATGGAAAAGGTAAAAATTAACACTTTCTACAAAGGGCAGTGATGAGAATTAAATGGGAAAATATATATTAACCACTTAGTCCTGAGCCTGGTATAAGGAAACATTCAGTAAAAACGATTATTATTATCATCTTCTCTCCTCCCCAGCATGAAGGCAGGACATTGTCTTATCCATCACTATATTCCCAGAACCTGGTACACACCTAGTATTAATAAGAAGAATAACAACAGTATCAACAATAACAGTAAAACCAAACACAGACAGTGTTTGCTCTGCTTGGCACTGTCCTAAGCACTCTCCAGAAGGTACCCCACTTAACCCTCACAACGACCCTATGAGTTGGGTTCTACAATTATATCCACTTTATAAATGAGAGAAAAGAAACACAGGGAGGTTAAGAAACTCGCTGATAAACAGTGGAGCCAGGATTAGAGTCCAAGCAGTCTGACTTCCAAGTGCTTGCTCTTCAATGTCATGCTACATAGAGAAGATATGCAATAAGTATTTGTGCAATGGACAGATGGATAGATGGATGGATGGACGTGCAAATGGGTGGGAACTTGGATGAATCCTCAAATCTTTTCCTGATGCCTTATGTAAGCAGGTTAATATTTGTTGAGCCATACAAATTAATGTTGGTGCTATTTCTTTGCTAAGCAGGTCACTTCCTTTCTCTGTGCTCTAGTTATTCCCTAGTGTAGGGCAGTGGAGATAGTACTGTCTCTGAACGAGGGTCTCCCTTAGCTGCTTTGGGGTCATTGGCCCCTTTGGGAACTAACAAAGGTGCTGGGCTCTCTCCTAGAAAAGTATACTGAAACACAACATCTTGAAAATTCCATGTGTACTCAGTCTCTCATGCAACTTCAGGGGTTAAAAGACTCCCTAAAGTGCAGGCCCTAGGTTAAGAAGACTAGATATGTCTGGTTTTGAATCTGGCTCTTCTACTTAATATCTGTGTGATACCAGCAGGGCATCTACCCTCAGACTCATTTTCATCATTTCTGAATGAGAGTTAGTCATACTTACCTCACTGGGTGGCTAAGAATTAAGTAAGACTGAGCGTATAATCTCCAGATATTCTTCACTGAGAGCAGTTCTTGTGGCAAGAGTCACGCCAGTGGTCAATCTCATGGCAGGTCTAATCTACAACACCCTTCAGCCATTTCCTTTAGGGCAAGTAATACTTGGGAACATCTACCAAGGTGTATACTTCTACTCAGACTCATTCCTTAGATGAAATTTTACCCTCCAAACTGGAGATTTTCTGTCCTCATCTTCTAATCTCTTTCTAATCAACAAATGTTAAGAAATTATGTCTGTGTTTAGGGGTGAGAAGACAAATACAATGCCAGGGCATACATGCAAAACTCACTATGATGGTCAATGGCCATAAGGGCAGAATGCTGGACTTAATAATGGGAGACAATAATAACAGCTATTATTTATTGAGCACCTACTAAATCACTTTACTCTAATCTCATAGTAATTCCTTGAGGTGTCTGCTCTCATTCCTGTTTCACAGAAGCATAAACCGAGGCTCAGAGAAGTGACTTGCTCAAGGTCACACAGCTGGGAGAAAACAGGCTGGAATAAAAGCCAGATCTGACTTACTTTGCCCCCACCACACCTTGTTTATAAATCTATAGATTTCTCATATCCAACACCTCTCACCCAGTCATCCAACAGATATTTAGAGCCCTTACCAAGTACAGGTACTGTGCCAGGTGCTAGAGATAATGTGGTGAATATGGTAGATGTGATCCTGTTCTCTGTACACATCCTCTGTCCCACCCCATTCCACCTTGAGCAGTAAGTGCTTATAAAGGCTGACACTCTGGCTTGGAGGTGGTCCTCAGACATAAAGCTTCAAGTTAAGTCCATTCACTTAACACTAAACCTTTGGCTTTGGACTGATTTGTAAAATGGTTTGGGTTCCACTGAACATCTCCATTTGGCATCATTCTCCAATGAGAATGTCAAAAAGTAATGTCCGCAAGTAAGTCAAAAGTCTCCCCAAACAAAATGTATCTATGTTAGGATTGTACCCACTTAATAGCAAGCAAATTTATTTTTAAGTTAGACTCTTTCTGGAACACATCTGGGACCCATAGGATGCCCAAAAATTTGTACAAAAAAATAAATATAAAATGCGGTCACTCTTCCAGGTGTTCTATCTATATCATGCCAACTATCCAGATGTTTTAAGACGTCCAGATGAGTGGCCACATTTTTTACCTCTCAACTGGGTGTTTTTCTGGAGTCTCGAAGACAGTGCTACACTCGACTTGTTTTTGTCCTCGCCGTCTCTTCCCTTGATTCCTTCCTTTCAATTCTTCCTTCCACCCCCCAGTTCCATAAATCTGAATGTTTCCATTGTTGCTGGAATCATAACCTTTCGGTTTTCCATTTAACCAGGGCGTTCCCCTTTTCAATAATAGAAAGTACAGCTGCAGGGTACCCTTGGCAAGAGAAAAAAAACAAGGCGAACTAACCATTCTCAAGTTTCTGATCCCCTTCCAGATTTGTTACAAGTAAAAAAGGAAGAATAATAAGAAAAAGGCCGGAACCCATTTTGGAAAATCGTAAAATTATACATTCCAGTCTTTAATACTCCAAAGATCTGATGCAGAGCCCTAAGAAAAACTTGATGCTGGCTTATTGATGAAAGCAGGTCCTGAGCTTTCTCAAATTTCTCTCAGGCCCTCTTCACATTATAAAGAAATTCCAAAGTAAGGATCCAAATTTCAGGTCAGTCATGATAAATACTCTGGATGTAATCTCTGTGTTTATTTTGGTTATGGTTTGGTTTCTTTCTTTTTATTAGAAGCTCAATAACTGTTCAACAGCAAAGACTTCTGTCCAACTGAGTAATGGTTAGCTCTCGGGGTTGGGGAATGGGCTGTGGTCAAGGGTCAAGTCTACGATGAGATGAGTCCATAACTTGGCTTTGGAAAGTTGTATAGTAAGAGTAGTCAGGTATATTGCAACTTTCCTGAATCCAACTGAGTCTCTTGGATAACAAAAGAGTTCTACCTGATTGTGATCACCCATCATGATGCAGAATTGTGAAAAACCCTGGTCCCTTGGATTTTTCTAAATATTTTTGCTTATGGATGAAGTAGCCTTGATGATGAATCCATAACACAGATAGTAAGGCACAGAGTTATGGCTCTGATGCTTACGAGCTATGTGACCATGTGCCAATCACTGGATCATTTCAATTTTGTTCTTAACTGTAAATGGGAATGATACCTAACCTTCTTGTGAGATTTAATTGAGATAATTCTAAACGCAGCCTAGTTTCTGTCTATCTTTCTTGCACATGAAATGTTCAAATCTTATCTGTCTACATAACCTGAGTCTACTCTCTTTTTTCTATTGATAGACTGGACAGATGGCTCTTTGAAGGTCATCCAATACTTGAAGGTATTTGGGTGGATTCCAGAGCTGGAAAGCTCACAGAGCTGCTTTTAAAGCACTAATCCCACTGAGCAAATACTGTCACAATTCCCAAATGGGTCATTTCCCTTGCCAATGAGTTCATTTAGACGAGACTGTTAGTCTTCAGAGACACCCAGACCCTGGATCCCAGAGTGGTGAACAGCCACTCCTTAGCTGAGTGACCTTCAGCAAGTCTAAAGGGAGGCTGTAATTCAGGCCTCTGACTCACAAAACAGTTCTCTTCCTGACAGATGGCCCCAGGCTTTTCATTGTTATGCAATCCAACATACTCAGCCAACATGAAAAGGTAGTATCCCTTAACCCTTATGAATGGATGGATGGACAATGGGTTGATGGATGGATAGATGGGTGGGTGGGTTGCTGGGTGAATGGATGGACAGGTTGATAGATTATTATTATTATTTTCCTTTTGGTGTTCTAGGTTCTTAGCTCTTAGCTTAAAGTAGGAAGAACTTGAATATTATTGTGTGAAGATCCTCAACTAGGAATCAAAAGACTCAGATTCAAATCTTACCTAGCCATTAAATTTATTTACTGGCATATTATCAGTGCCCCTCAGTGAGAATACAAGTTTCCTGAGAGTAGGGTTTTTCCCCACCTTTTCCTCCACTTATCCCATGCACCCACCAGAGTGCCCAGGACATAGTAAGTGCCCAATAAATACCTATTTGATGACTCCATCTTAGATCTGCCACTTATCAGCCACATAACCTTAGAATCTAACCCAGCCTCTTAGTCTTCTGTTTGCCCACAGCAAAATGGGGATGGAAGGCATCTCCCCTGGCACAAAGATTGCCATGAGGATCCAGAGAAGGGAAGGATGTAAAACTGCTTTAAAAAACACACAACACTGAGAAAATGCACCCTGCAAAACACTTTACAATATCTGATTCCCCTTCCCCTCTCAATCTCTGAATTCCCCCTGATTATCCAGTCTAGCACATGGCCTTGCTGAAATCTTTATTTGGGTTGCATTTTGTTTCTAATGGGGGGATGGTATATGAGTCAGGATGGGAGGGGAAAAGAAAGACAGACAAATGCTCTCCCAGGCCCTGGGGTCCTGGATTTGATTGAGCTGTGCTGATAAAAGACCTTCCCAGCTTTTTTGGCTCAATCCACTGGGAGAGATAGTTTGGAGACAGCTGGGTCCAAACACAAGGGAGCCCTCTGGCCTGCCTGGCCTTTGGACATTTCATTGGGCCTGACTCCTAGGCTCATTGGAAAGGAGACAGACAATGAGGGGAAGTCAGATAGTGGGGCAGGCAGGGGCCAGGGGGAAAACCACCCATGGAGTTATCACTTAACGGGAATCC